ACCATTTGGGGATAGTTTATACAACCCATTTATGCTGGTTTTGGGGATGATGTATTATTGGGTAAATTAACCACATTATTGATGTTCAATATCTACCAGGGTCAGGGTTACCCTTTTGAGGTGGTTGTGGTTACTGTAAGTGACCCTTTCGGGGGTGAAGTGACCTTGAATTGGTGCTTGAAGAGGCCACTTTGAAGAACCAGGTAGTTTTTTGCTTTTATCAAGTTCATTCAAAAAGAAACGTATGCAAAACACAATCAGGCTGTGGCAATGTTTGTGTGGATTAAAAGCCCTGTGCCCTTCAGTTCACATTCATCAAGCATGGCGTCTAGTCAAGGATACTCAGCCTCACAAAAAGATGAGACAACAGAAAATCTCCTCTATATATGTCAAATGATTAGGTCCCATTTTCCCTTAAGTATCTGCCAAAAGGAAACACAACGTATCAAGAAATATATATATATATACATATGTATATAATATATATATATATATTTACATATATATATATATGTATATATATACTGTTATCTAATTATATTCTATATATACATTCCAAGCACATCCCAACGATTGCTGTAGAGTGCTTTCTAGAACCATGGAGCTTCAGGCGGTTCAGGCCGCCAACGCGGAGTACTTTCGGACTCGTCAGGCGGCGTCTGGATGTTGGAAAAGCAATAGAATTCACTAGGGCCCCTTTAATTGATGAGTTAAATGGGTGGTATAAACAAACCATCAAATTTTGAGTGGTTGATGAAAATGCTTTAACATGTTTTTTTTTTAAACTAAGATTGTGATTTAAATTGTGGTTGTGGGGTGGAGTACAGTACACCTCGAGGGGCACCTGCTGGGTGGTATTTATCCCATGCAATTCCATCTGCATCTCCACACTATCAAGCAACTGAATGATCATTTCTGGTACCCTCCACTATTCATTGAGGTCCAATCCCTTTTGTTCATGGTAGAATCACATGAAGTATCCATTGGGTTTCTTCGAACTTTTTACCGTTGACGCATCCGGAAGCCCAGGCGGCTTTGGAGGTCGGAGCTGCCTGGGTTCTGGGCCAGTTCTGTTGGTACCCAAGCTTGGGCATGGAAGAAAAGAATCATCATCCATCACCTTTGGGGCATTAATACATATTAATTATTATCATATATATATATATATACCTGTATCCTCGAAAAAGCACAAATAAATGCTCATTTGAGAGATTTCTGCTTTCTGAGCCCTTTTTCGCCACATGAGCGTAATTGCACCACTTTTGGCATTTTTGCGCTTTGTTCATTTTGAAGCCAAAATTATGAGCGTATTTTCCCGGGAAATAAGCGTAAATACACGGGAAAAAAGCGTAAATACCCGTCCGTCAAGAAACAAATGCGCGTTTTCTAGGTCAAGTGAGCATAAAAAGTCAGAAAGAGCGTAAATCCAAGCGAAAACTGCTATGAGCAGAAAAAAGTGCTAAGTGAAGATCCAGGTATATATACATTAATATGTATACACATGTACGTTTTGAAAGTCCACTTAAAAAGTCCACAAAAGCAAAAGTCACGCATGTACTGGTTCCAATTTTGGCTGCTTCAACGCAAGAGACATAGAGCCAATATGTTCTTGGCCATCGATCCAGACATTAATTACCTGTTTCATCGTGATTCTATCATTTTTCAGGATATGTCCATTTCTTTGGGGAAAAAAATGGTTGGTTTTCCATGTACCCCTTATCTTCATGTGTAGTGTTCATTGTATCATTGTATCTTTCATTCATTTCATACTGTGGATGGTTGCGAAATCCTGCACCAGCACCTTGGATGGTTGAAACCCTATACATAATGAGATAGACCATCTATCAACTGGTGATTCGGATTTCGCAACCATCCACAGTATGTTGGTTTTCCATGCCTTTTTGCACCAGTGTTGCGAGGCGAAGCGCCGGGCTGAAGCGGAAACCGTGGTCGGGCCTTCCCGGCTTTCCGGGCACCGGGCGCGGGGGGATGGGCCCATAGTCGTTCGGAACTTCGGTGGGCGTTCCACCGGAGAAAACGATGGGGATTGATACCCTCTGGTTATGTCAAAATAGCTATTGAAAATGGCCATAGAAATAGTGGATTTGCCCATTAAAAATGGTGATTTTCCATAGTTATGTAAACGTTTACCAGAGGGTAACTGGTTGGTGGTTTGGAAATGTTTGGAACATGTTTTACTTTTCCACATATTGGGAATGGAAAATCATCCCAACTGACGAAGTCACTCCATCATTTTTCAGCGGGGGTGGTTGGAACCACCAACCAGTTGGTTTTTATCTTAGATATGATAAATATATATATATATATATCCCATTAACTATAGATATATCACCTATAAACCATAGTGAAATTGAAGTTATGTGAACCCCAACTTAGCTATCGTAAACGGGGGCACCACCTTATATATATATATATATAAATGATGGGGGTCCGATCATCCCCTTGGAACATGGTGAGGCTATTGACAAGTCTGAGCTATTGAAAAAACTCGTGGATTTTTCGTTGGTGAAGGACTGTAGGACGCTTAAAGTTGTTGGGGAATATGATATATGATGACCCAGAAAGGAATGGGAAACCGATTTCAAGCAACTAGTATAATGATCTGATGTGATTCGATTCTGCATTTTCAAAAAGTTTGTTTTGAGATTACGGAATGGGTTTCTATATGGAACTCTGTGGCTTTTGTTGCTGTTTATGATGATAATGATGATGTACTAATCCAAAGTTAATGAGAGACACAGAGAGCAGCTGCTTTTAGGGCTTCATATCCTCCAGGGATGGGCCAGTGGGCCCTGCAAAGCTGCAGATACCATGGGTTTGCTACCCGTATGTTGTGGATGACATTGGATGACGTTGGCTCCGCAACTTGTTTTCTCCTGTTCTTCAAACCAACAAACATGCCAAAACATGCTGGAATATGTTCTGGTTGGTGGTTTCAAACATGTTTTATTTTCCATAATATATGGGATAATCCTTCCCATTGACTGATATTTTTCAAGATGGTTGAAACCACCAACCAGGTTGATTCCAAGCAAAGTTCTGGATATTGAAGGAGAATCAAAATTTTCACCTCGTGAGTTCAGTGATTGCCTTCGCTTTTTCCCACATGATACCCAGAAATGCTTCAGAAACATGATAGAGGGAGCAGGGAGTGATGATAAAGATTGACCCATTTCCTGTTTTCTCATATCTAGTAAATGTAGGGCGACCCCCAAATCATTCCTGTGATTTTCGAAAAAAGATCCTTGAAATAAACCATCCATCCGGCACTTGGGCTATCCATATATGGAAACCCAACATGTACAGGCCAAAGGCGCTGTGCCCGAGCGGCCAGAGCTGCCCGAGCGGCCGGAGCGGCCGGAGCGGCCGCGGCAGCGCGGCCCAAAACGGGTGGAGGCCGAGAAATTGAGGATTGTGTTCCAAGCAGAACTGGGAACTTGGAACTTTAATGTTAAACTTGATAGTAACATATGGAGGATGTTTTGATAGAAGAGAATACATCAACAAATCCGAGAATGTATGGAGGATTTCGATGTATTCCCTTGGAAATTCGGGGATGAGATCATAAGTTTCTAGTTTTTTTGTTTTTAATGGGTTGATTGATGATTATTTACGCCAATAATGCATGTTTGTCGATTTTGATAGTACACCAAGATACAATAATAAAATGTTGACTGATGACTCATGTATACCAATCAGTCAATATAACATATATTAGTCAATTTTGATACTGATGATTACTTATTATTGGTAGTACACCAATATGTTTAATGATGATTATATTGTTGCATCATTTAATTTATATGATATTAAGATGTTTGTGTTATCACCAATATATCATGATTACCACATGAGTACACCAATTGATCTCGTAATAATGACATATTAATGTGTAACATGTTATTAAACAACTATGATGTCATATACCACTATATTCGTTAACAATTATTCACTATGAACCATTTATTAACAAATTATTTACTATTATTAACCGCCAAGAGGGAACGGTTATACGATCTCCTGCTGCCACATCAGATCGAAAAGGTCCGTGCCTCGTAAGGTGAGCCTCCCCAAGTTGTAGTGTTGTTTTTTAAATTTAAACCCCATTACCTGTATATTTATATATACAATATTAATATGATATATATATATATATGTGTGTGTAATATATATATATATAATATATATAGATGTAATATAATATCTATGTATATATATATCTATATATTATAGATATATGTAATTATATCTTGGAGTCATGTTCACCAACTTTTCTGGTGCAGGAGTCACCTCAGCTCACTGGCAAAGAACGTGAGGCCGAGGTCGCGTGTGGATTTTTTAAACGGCAACGACATGACAGATGATGGTGTTGTTAATGGTGATGTTACCCTCTGGTTATGTAAAAGGGGGAAACTGGGGAGTGAGGGTTCAAGGTTCAAGTGGGAGGCTGTTATGTTTTTGTTCAATGTTGTAAATCTAAATGTTTGACTGTTTCTTTTTGATAATTTTGCTAAATGTTTCGTTGAGGTTGTTGTGATAATGTTTGGTTTGGATGAGGGTAGGTTTTGTTGAGGGTGTTTTGCCTGTTATGTTTTTATGTTGATGTTCAATGTTTCTTCCTTTCCGTTGATGTTTTTTCAGGTGGGGGTTCTGGGGCTATTTTTTCTTAAGTGTTCATCGTTTCCTGTTTCATTATTTTTGTTTTTCGTTTGTTCATTGCTCGGTTGTTATGTTTTTGTTTAGGTTTGTGTGTTATTGTTGTGGTTGTTATGTTTTTATCTTCATGTTCAATGTTTTTTCGTTGGTTTCAATGATTTTCTTGAAATTGTTAGGGGTGGTTTAGTGTTTTAATTTTCACTCCAATCGTTTGGTTTGAGTGAGGTGATGATTTCTTGTTGTTTTTGGAGCTCTGGATGGATGTAGCTAGTGCACTTGCGATTTGATGAGGCTTTGTTCATCATGAAAGCAAACAGGCTCAAGCATGGTAAAGCACCTATTCCCAAGCGGACACTGCAATGCCATTGTCCGAGCCGATGAAAGCGGCCATCGTGCTGGCTATCGTGCTGGCTATCGTGATGGTTATCGTGGCACTCTTTATCGCACTCGTCCTCGCAAATGCCATCGGAGCCCTCACCAGTGCCGTGACGGCAAAACCAGTCGCGGGGTACGCTGGCGTCGGAGGCTTCGCAGGAGGTCTCTTTGAGGACAGACTTGACTTGGATTGAAATTGCGTGACTCGTTTGTGTCCCCGTCATGGTGTAGGATAAATCATGTTTGAACCCAGTCATGCCGCCTTGCAGGACATCCTGCGTGTCTTCTTGCCCGCAGCAAACATGTTGAAGAACCACCTGCCACTGCTGGCGGGTGCAACTGCCTTTGCACTATGCCTAGCTTCATGAGGCCGGAGAGTTGCAAAACGTAGTTTCTCAACCCAAAGCAGTCCCCACCTTCTGGTTGTCATCCGCCAACTGTTTGTGACAGGTTGCAATACGTGAGGGCCAAGGAAGTGCCGTTTCACCGCTGTAGCTTCAACGCGCAGTACAGACAGCGGATGCCAGAGACAGACATGCTGATGGGGAAAAATGCTCGCAAGCAAAAGTGTGAAAGGCATTTGGAGAGGACTTAAAGCCACCTTTGAACCCTTGAGCAAAATTATCAAAAAGAAACAGTCAAACATTTAGATTTACAACATTGAACAAAAACATAGCAGCCTCCCACCTGAACCTTGAACCCTCACTCCCCAGTTTCCCCCTTTTACCATTTTTTCCCATTTATAGATGATTTACCTATCAAAAATGGTCATTTTCCATTGCTATGTTAAATAACCAGATGGTAATGGTGATGTTAATGGGAATTAGCAATCAACAATGATGATAATGGAGATATGATATCATTATTCTGGATGAATTATAAGATAATAATAAGCGATCTCGCTGCGATGTCACTGGCATGATTGTTAATAAGGGGAACCATCCCCATAAAAAAAAAAAAATCTTATTTCCTGTTCGTGAATTAGTATAATTTATCCAGATCAACGGAGTGGTTTTTATGATGTTTATCTGGTTGGTGGTTTCAAACATGTTTTATTTTCCATTTCATATATGGGATGTCATCCTCCCCATTGATTCATTGATGAACTCCATCATTTTTCAAGATGGTTATTGCACCACCAACCAGTTATGTAAACCTTTACCAGAGGGTAAATCCCATACAAATCCCATTAAAACCCATTAAATTCCATTAAATCATTAAGGATTTGCACCATATCATATCACATCATATCATATATCATATTTTATATATCACATATTATATATCATATCATGTATCATACATCATACATCATATATCATATATCATATATCATATATCACATCATATCATATCATATCATATCTATAGTTAGATGATGCTAGATAAATATAAACCAACCTATAGCTGAGGGCCCCCACATTGTTAAATGACGAGTATTGTAAGTGGGCAACGGTCAGAGTATAACCTAAAGTAATATATGGAATATCCCTGGGCCCAGTATAGAGGATGTTCGGTTTTCATTTTCCATCCCTCGGGGGTAACGGGCCAGTAGGAAAGCAGGCGAGCGCCCAGACTGCCGAAGGCATTGAGTCAGTCAAGCGGTCGGTTTTTGTACAATGCACAGCTTATATTTCACCACAGTTGTCGGGGTTATATCCCATCTAATATGGAAGGTAAGATCCCGCAGTTATATCCATCAATAGCCATGATGAACCATTAATAACCATTGATTCACCATTACTTACCATTACTTACCATTATTAACCATGATTAGCCCATGATAACGCCCTTTCTCCCCAGCCCGATCCATGCCTTGCTCGACCCACCGTGATGTAGTACGTAGGTGCGACGCCGTGCACGGGCGGAACAAGATGAGCGGGACACCTTGGATGTGGTTCTTCACAGAGGGGTACTCCAATAGCATCAATAGCTGGATGGTCCATGATGGCTGCTATTTATTTATATATGATATAAACTATCCATATATATATATAACTATATAAATCATATACATATCTAGCTGTATGGAAGAATCAACTATAAATGGATGATGTTTAATGGCAAATCCTATAGCTGGGATGGTTTCTTTCATGGAAAACCCTAGAGTAAAATTGTTTACTAGGTCAGGGGCTAATGACTTGGATGTCCCGAATTCCAATTGGTCATCGTTTTCCAATGTTTTCCTTTGAAACATTGCCATTTGGTCGGTTTCCTAAAATGGGGTTCCCCAATGGATGGTTTGACCCCACGGGCGCCGTGCAGATCGTGCAGGACGCAGCTCATTGGGATGCGTTGAATAAAGCGATGCGCGAGAACTTTGAGGAACCGAAGATGGTTGGTGAGTTTGGGTGCTGATTTCAGCATCAAAACACGGGGATTTTTTCATGGATTTTTGATGAGAAAAAACCGGCACCAATGGTGGTTACCAATGGGGATATGATATGATATAATGGTGTATATTATCGAAATATATCGAGATATGATATTCATTTATTTATAATTTTGTTTGATCTTGTTTCGTGTTTTACTTATTTATTACATACGTATGATGGGACACACACACAATGGGATGCAACTAAAAAATGCATTGGAAGTTCACCAATTCTTGTTGCACGGATCAACGCCCATGTTTTTCTGTCCATAACTGGTTGGTGGTTTGGAACATTTTTTACTTTTCCATATATTGGCAAGAATAATCCCAACTGACTATATTTTTCAGAGGGGTTGAAACCACTAACCAGATAAACATTGAGGGAATGAACATCCAGCTATAACCAGTCGAATTTTGATGTGACAACCAGGCGTACATGGTTTTGACCCATCCCAAAAAGGTTTATTTAGTATGACAATAACACTTGGTAAAGTGGATATATGATAGATATTATTGAAACTTGGACACTTGGAGAATGGTTTGTAGCTTGCTAACTCGGTATAATCAATTCTAGTAATGTATAACATGGTTTAAACATGTTTAAACCATTTGGAACTGTTTTTTTTTTTAATGATGGTTCATTGAATTTCTGATCTTTGATGCACCTGGTGACTGATATGTTCACCTGGAGTGACCTGGAGTGACCTGAAGCGGCTTCCGGCGTCGGGATCCAAGATATGTTTGGCCTGTGACTGGATTTTTTTGATGACCACGGTTTCAACAAGGTGGTGCCCCCCCAGTTATAAGTTGGTTTATAAACCCCATTAACTATAGATATATCTACCATAAGCCACAGTAGCCAACTACGGGGCACCACCTTGAAGAGTTTCCACCCAGGCAATCTATTTAGCCTCTGATAAATTAACATCGCTATGGACAGATCCACCATTTTGGAATAGGTAAATCAACTATTTCTATGGGCCATTTTCAATAGTTATGTTAAATTATCAGAGGGTAACATTACCACGGATTTTATCACCAATTTCATCCACGGCAAAGCACGCAGTGCAAATATTGCGAAATCTGCATGTTTTTAGTCTTTATATCAACCATGGATTGAATGGGAAAAAATCTTACTAAAACTAAACCTGGACCATTTTTTGTGATTTGTCCATAGCTAGGTTGAATTGAAAAAGAGGCTACTCTCAGTCATAGCTTGCCAAACTGCGCAAAAAAACTCCAGCTACGTTTGTACCTCCGGAGCATCTCACCTGTTGATGGTTTGTAGCAGATAGGATCCCAAAGTGATTACAATACCTTGCCCAAATGAGGTGGCATGTCGTGGCCAACTCCCAGACCCGTTTTAAGTGGGGAAACTTTGCCGGAAAGCCTGGTTCTTGGGGCAAGAATCATCGTTTCCTGTGGATTCCACACCTAGAGTTGACCTTACCATTAAAAAGTACGCCAACCAAAAAAACAATTGGGTTTACCCTCTGGTAAACTGACATGGCTATTGAAAATGGCATTTTATAGTGAGTTTTCCCATTAAAAATTGTGATTTTCCATAGTTATGTTAGTTTACCAGAGGGTACCATGTTGTGCCCATCAATGTTCAAATGTTCCCATGGTTATCAGTTGATGGCAGGATTTTTCCCGCTGGACAGTCATTTTTTTTCATCACCGCTGCTGCAGGAGCGGCGGAAACTGGAGCTGCGCTTGAAAGCCAGCGATGAGGACAGCTCAAGACATGGACTGTGGCCCATTTTTGAAGTCTTGATTGGTTTTGGTTTCACTCCCTGAGTTTTTTGAAAGGGAACTTCCCTCTCTTCCATGGTCATACGGCTTCCATGGAGTTACTTCTAGTTACTTTACGGCTTCATAGGTGGCTAGAAATGGCAGAGCCATCCTGAGATCTCCACAAATATCCAGCAAAATGTCCCACTTGACTCTTAAAATACTGCTTGGTGGTTTCAAACCATGGAATTTTATGTTCCATTTCATAAAAAAGGGATGTCATCCGAAACCCATGGACTTTCACTCCACCATTTTTCAAGATGGGCACATTGCACCACCAACCAGAATAAATGGAAAGATCCACCATTTTTTTTAATGGCTAAATCATGTAAATCCACTATTTCGACTGGGCCATTTTCCAGTTCGCGAACTGTACCCTCTGGTGAACTAACATAACTATGGAAAATCACCATTTTTAATGGGAAAACTCACTATAAAAGGCCATTTTCAATAGCTATTTTGACATAACCAGAGGGTAAACGTTTTACCAGGCCGGGTCAAATATCCCGCCAGCATCTCCTGGGCTCTCCTGGGCTCTGGAGCCACCAGGCCGCGGCGGTCGATGGCGCTGCAAGTCCTAGAGGTGAGCGGCGGTTATTTTTGGTGGATCCTATCTTTTTTTGAATCGGTTCTCATGGTGGCGTTTCAAAAGTCAGGAAGCCTTAGGGGATAAGATCCCAAGAAATTTAGATGGTGCCACATCTTTTCCGCAAACACCACATGAGGCGTGACGGCGACTTGCAAAGACAAGTTGGCGGAAGAGGTGAGTAGTAGGGGGCAGGTGATGGTTGATGATAGTATATACCTAAGTATATATATATACGATAACAATGTGGGATTGGTCATGTGTATCACCCGTGGTGTGTCATGGAGATGTGGTGCAAACGTGGTGATATTTCACCAGCAATATGAATGTTTTGGCGTGGCTCACCCAGACATCAATATGATGACTTGCAACATAGGAGCTGCAAGCACCTAGGATCCGTGCCCACTCTGAGAAACAGAGATGGCAAGATCCATGACCCACATTGATTAAATTGGGTATGGCTCAAAATTAATCCCATCCCAACAACATTCAATACACCCCTAGAAACCCTGATTCAGATTTGATCTCTTCATTTCCAAGTGTTTTTTTGCTTCACTGATGGAGTTGTTACCCCCGAAATTGGATGGTTGAAGACTAGAAATGACGAAATGTGTGGTCCTTTTTGGTAGTTTTTGTTCATCGATGTTCCTATTCATTATTTTTAAATATATTCAAATGGTTTGTGGTTTTATCCCATAGGATCCATGTATGGTATATTTACCTACATTTGGGTGATTTTTAGGGCAAATGTTGGTAAATATTCCATACATGGATCCTATGGGTATGTTTTAGATTCATTTTTTTTCAAC